TGCTGAGGCACAGTGTCAGATAAATGGAGTAACAAGTTTTAAAGACTAAAAGTAACAGTGGGGACTGGAATGTGGGGCTCCTTTTTCCAGTGAGGGAAATGTTCTAAAGTGGATTTTTAAAATTGTTACTCTACCATAAAAAAACAGTAAAATACACTCAGTTGTATACCTTTCAGTGAGCATAAGGTATTGATTGTATGGTGTGCTGGATGATGGCCTGGAGTAATCATCAGGACCCTGCATGGTGCCTTACACAGAAAAGGAGTACTTGGATATGTGGCTAAACTAAGGCTTGGGAGTGGGGAAACTATTATCCAGGTAAGCCCTAAATGCAACCACGCGTGTCTGTATGAGAGGTGGTTTTCTCAGCAGGGGAGGAGGGGGCAACATGGCTACAGAGGCGCCAACACCTGATTATGACTAGTGGTGCTGATCTTGGGCTTCCGGTCTCCAGGAAGTTCTGGAGAGTTGTTCTCTGTGAGAGAACAAGCCTTTGTTATTTTCAGAAACTATTTGTTGTAGCAACAATAAGAAAGAAATGATGTGTGAATTAAATCCTAACAAAGCTCTTACTGACCAAGTTTTTAATACCTCCGTAATTGTGCATTTTTGTTCATTTACCTTTATATTTTTTAATCTTTTTTTTAAAGATTTATTTTCTTATTATGTATACAATGTTCTGCCTGTATGTACACCTGCAAGCCAGAAGAGGGCACCAGATCACATTTATAGATGGTTGTGAGCCATCATGTGGTTGCTGGGAATTGAACTCAGGACCTCTGGAAGAACAGCCAGTGCTCTTAACCTCTGAGCCATCTCTCCAGCCCCACCTTTATATTTCTAATCTATTTCTATTTTATATAGTCTCTTGCAATGTGCTGCCATAAGATTTAAGAGAGTCCTATCATCTTCATAAATTTTAAATTTTATAAATGTAATATTTCACCATTTAGAAGTATGAAAAATGATTTTGATCTGCTTGAATTACTTTCAATGTCAAAACCTGTTCAGTTTTGTTTACTTATTTCATTTATCTGCTATTCCTTTATCGATTCTCTTAATATGTTTTGTCATCCTACATTAGCTGATTTGTTTATAAAACAGATATGGCGTCCCAGCCCCATCCACTACGAAAAGCCACAAACCCTGAGATGGGTGATTGACTGATTTAAAACACTTAGGAAAAAGGAGGGTTAGCAAAATGCACAATAAGTGTCAGATGCATTACTGAAGACTGGGCTGATCTTGAGGGCTGTGTGAGCACCGAATTAACTTACTGATTTGTTTGCCCCCAAATTAACAAAAATGTTTCTAAATTAGAGAATATCTTCAATTTTTTTTTTTAATTGAGGAAATTTGAACTGGATGTGGTGGGCCACACCTTTAATCCCAGCACTCAGGAGACAGAGGCAGGCAGATCTCAGAGTTCAAGGCGAGCCTGGTCTACAGAGGGAGTTCCAGTATAGGCAGAGCTACAGAGAGACACCCTGCTTCAAAACAAAAAAACCCTTCAATAATAAAATAATAAAAGATAAAAGTAAAAATTGAGGAAATTTGAGAAACACTCATAATTAGTGATCATACATGATAATATCATTAATACATAAAGAGCACTTACAATTCTAACGTAAACTAAACTTCAAAAGGTAAGACAAACATGGAGACTGGGCTGTGTTCTGCTAAAAAAGTTACTCTGGATTGTATGGAACAGTTATTTCAAGCTGGGGCTTGTCCTGAGCGATCCTACTTTTTAAAAGAGCAGTCTCCCTTTATCTTGGGTGCAAACGCTGAGCTGGAATGACTCACATCTTGTTTGTGCAAGCGAACAACCACAGCACAAACCATGAGGCAGCGAGTGCTAAGCAACCAACCTCTTTAAACAACAATGTACAACCAGCTATGCGCTCCAAATCAAATCAGGAACACCTGGGCACCCGGGGCCGTCGAGACTCTCAGAAACCCAGACCCGTCAACTCATTAAATACACCAGGCCAAAGAATGATGCAACCACCTCCCTTGGTACTTTTAAGTCATTTTTTCCCAGACAGGAAAATGGCCACAGCAATGTACCTCTAATCTGGGTTCAAGTGACGTTTCTCTTGTCCAGAACACTAGAACTGCCCTCTCTCCCCACGCCACGGCGGCTTTGACAGCTCTGAGCAGCTCTACTCTTGCAGTTCATGATGCTTGTCTGACCCTCCAGGGACATTTCCTTGAGTCTGAATCAGCGGCCCTCAGCGGCCCAGAAACCTTTCCCCTTAGAGTGGTCTCTCTAACCCCCGTGGACTCTTTAACCTTTTGAAGCCATCCTGTAGCTCGCCCACTCTCTCTAGTATGAAATTCATTATACTTAGTACTCTTAAATACTATGAATACTGCTTATTAGTAATTACTGTCAGTAAGATTGGAATAAAAGAACCTGTTGTCACCAATGACTGTGTCTACCGAGGAAAAACAGTAGTACTTGGTGAATTAAAGTCAATAAAACCAAAATGTCTTGCAAATTCATGAAATCACACTTTAAATGTGAAAACACACAAATGTGCCCATGTTGCTGATATAGCTTGCTCACGCTAGAAAAAAAATGTAATAAAACAATAAAGTGTTTTAACATAAAAAAATATTTAACCTCTATTTTAAAAAAATGTGAGGAGCAGAGGCTGTAGCTCAGAGTAGTGATTGCATGAGCAGGGAACTGGGTGCAGCCTGAGCCCTGAAAGAAGGAAACTAGAAAAGCAAATTGTAGGTTTCTTATTCTTAGTAATGCTTACTGTAGGTGGGAATAAAGTACTCAGAGAGCTCTTGTACACTGCTGGGGAGGCGATCAAAGCAATCAACAGCACAATTCGACAGTAGGTACCCAAAGCTTTCAGCTGTTCCTTCTAGCTAGACATTTCCACTTCTGGGAACTCATTCTAAAAAAACAAAAAAAATCCTGGAGCTCTGTCAGACTAGCATGACAATTAGACTAGACGAGGCATTTTTGAAAATGAAATTATTTCCTCGAAGTTTTAGAGGGTGGACTGTCCAAACTGAAGGTTCAGAAGAGTCATTGTCTGATGAAGTCTGTCTCCTTGGGTTATAGATGGCTGTTTTCTTGCTGTGTCCTCACATTGGCTTTCTGTGGTGTGTATGCCTCTAACCACACGTGTGACACCCCCCCACATATACACAAACACAATCTCTCTCTCTCTCTCTCTCTCACACACACACACACACAACTTTTTGTAAAGTCACTAGCCCTGCTCCATTCCTAGTTCTGACTTTTTGTTGGGTTTTTTTTTTGTTTTGTTTTGTTTTTGTTGTATCTTGAGACAGGCCTTGGCTATCCTGGACTTGCTTTGTAGACCAGGCTGGCCTACAACTCACAGAAATCAGCCTGCCTCTGCCTCCCCACCATGCTCGGCTCTGAATATACAATCGCTTTAAGCCCTAAAGTTTAGGGGTTAGGGATTTAACATAAATTCAGAGGGTGGGACACAATTTTAAATTGTAAACAAAGATTTAGCTGCAGACACTGGTCTTATTAGGAGTAATGGAAAGTAACTGTCCAACAATAAAGATATAATTAAGTAATAATATAACCAAATAGCAAAACATTACATTGCCATTTTAATGCTTGAGGGACCAAGGTGGAGGAGAAGCACCTCTCCGCATGTCTCCAACAGCTAAAATCCCCAGATACCTGACTTAACCAAGCTTTGTGACTGTGAGAGCTGCAAGGGTGCCAGGCTGCCGATGGAGCTCAGTGGCGGGTGAGTGCCCCCAGCTTCTTTCTGCCCGGCAAATGGCATTCAGAAAGGGCAACAAAGGACAGACAAGAGCAATAATAAAACCAGGAAAAGCTTGCATTAGCCGAAAGGAGTGAAAATGTGTTTCTTAGGATCCGAGGGAAGATATCACAATGTTAACAGTTGGCTTTAAGTCAGTTATAGAAACACAGGCTTCACATTCTTCCTTGCTTTTCTGTTTATACCATTCTATAATGAGCCTATATTACTTTCTTATTGAGATACAATTCGCATATGGTTAAAATTCGTATTACTTTCAGAAGCAAAAAAAAAAAAAAAAAAAAGAACCTCTTCTAAATAGCTTATTTGTGGAGAAACTGCTAAGGCAAATAGGTAAGTAGCACTGAGACTCAAGTTTTGCAAAGAAATGTAAGTTATGCCTGTAATTACGTTAAAGAGAAAAAGCTTTTTCTTTTCTGAACTCCCCCCCCCCCCCCCCAGACACACAAGCACGCAGAGGGCAGAGAATCATTCTTGGAAGTCGGTTCTTTCCTGCTTCTGGGCTCCTGAGATCAACCTCAGGTCATCGGGCTTGCCTCTGCCTGACATGCTGAGTCATCTACACGGCTCCTCCAAACTGTTGTAACGCTGTTGTTCTCCCTGTTTTTGAGTAGTGTGTCTGATCTAGACAAGAACCCTTCTAGAAAGGATTTAAGAAATCCTCCACACAGAAACTCTGCCTAGTGTGTGGTTGTCGCCTTCCGTGGAGCCAAAGTGTCTGAGAGGAAAATGTGATGAATTAACTCTTGACTCATTACAAAAGACTTGGAGGAAGGGAGGAAACAGAACACTTGGAAGCAGGTTCTAGCGGACAAGATTCTGGTCTAACAAAATGGTTTCTTTACTTATCCCATTACCGTAGATCATTCTTTGTCTGGTTTAATAACACCATGCAGACCTTCAGTTGTAGATCTCACTATATTTGTACAATCAGAGTTCACTGAATAGAAAATGCTGTTTTTTTTCTTGATCTTATCAGAAAGTGTCATATTTTTATATCATGAATGTCATGAATTGAAAGGAGCTATTTGATAATAGTAACCCAATTTCAGACGGGTTAAATATTTTGAAGTATGTATCTTAGAAATGATGTTTTAATTCTTTTATTTGACTTAATCCTCAGATGCTGTGTGTGTGTGACATCTATCCAGAGATAATTGAAACTGGCAGAATAATTTGATAAAAACATTAAATAACACAGCTCCTTACTTGTACAAATTGCTCTTGGGTAAATCCTGGTTCCATTGTGTTCATTATAATCAGATCTTCGGAATGTGATTCTAAATTTGGAATTAAAGTTATTTGCTGATTAGTCTGGGTGTAATAAATCAATATTTTATATTTATTATATAGTACTTAAAATTATTTGCAATTATTATCTATCCATAGTTACAGTAAATAATTTATAGTTGGATAACATTCCAGTTGCTACCAAGGGTTTTTTTTCCTGGCTTTATTTAACCAAGAAGCTCAGATATTAAAATGAATAAACCTAAATTTTTAATTACTAGGTTGGAATAAAGCACAAACAGATATACATACCACATAAACGACTAGAAAAAACAGTGTAGCTTTATAAGAGTATACCAACAGATCTAAGCCAAAACCCCTTTGTAAACTTCTCTTTAAAACTTTTTTTTAAGAGCTAGACTACTTTTTATTTTTATTTTTAAGACACATTCTCTCTCTATACCCCTAGCTGGCCTTAAACGCACAGAGGTCTGCCTGTCTCTGCCTCGGTGCTGGGATTATAGACGTGGGCCACCATACCCAGCTTAAAGTTTGTCTTTAATGTTTCTTGAATTAACAAACACCACATGAATATGGTCTTTTAGGGAAAGATGTAAATAATACAAAAGCTATTAAAGTTGCCACAAGAGGTAGCATCATAAATTATATGTGGTTACGAACATCTTCCCTTTTCTGTGTTCTCCACAGCACCCCCAGTCCCGCCCCCAAAGCCTGTCACCACTGTTGATTGCCATCTTCTTAGCAACCTTCCCATGCATTTCCAAATGTGTACGTCTATGCAGAAACACATAGCGTTTGTTTTTCTGTAATAATTATCATCATTTTGCTCAGCACTTTTCTTTTCTTAGCGTTCACTGCAGGTCTCTCAAGGATCAGGGGGACGGTTTAGGAACGGGAGACATCAACTAGAGTCATGGGGCAGAATAAGGAACTCCAGGGTGTGTGAACAGTATGTCGGGTGATGAGAAAGCCGAAACGCAAACACCAGAAAGCAACATTTAAGATGCAGAAGAACTGGGAAATGAAACCGCTGGGAGGTGCCCAAAGAGCCGCCTGAATGAGGGTGACTAGGAACGGGGACTTAGCTGAGTGGTAGGGTACCTGTCTAGCAAGCTCAAGGCCCTGGGTTTGGATTTTAGCTCCAGAACAACAAAACAAAAAGAGTTCCGTTTGTCATAATAATTGCGTAGCTCATATCGACCTCATCAGGAGGCAGACGCAGTTTTATGATCAAAGAACTAAGGCACTAGCTTCCTCTCCCGCGTCTCACGGCATCTCCGCCTGTCACGGATTGGGACAAGGGCACAGTGAAGATTCTTCAGGCACTCTTGAATTTCATAACTGGCAGCAGGAGGCACCAGTTAGGGTCCAGTTATGGTCATAAGACACCTTCTATCGCCAGAAAATTAGGCAAGTCAAACTGGTTTCTACCAGCAACGGCTTGACACTGAACAACTTAAAGATATAAACAACTTTTAATGTTCTTCATATTCTTTACTCCTTTGTAGTATCTGGGCTCAACAAATGCTGAACAGACCAACTAACAATACAGATAAATAAACACTGTAGTAAAGGAAAAGCTGGGAGAACGCTCCTTTGGTTGAGGAGGAACAGTTTAGAATTTCTCTAATTTTCACCAGGATTCTAAAGAACTTACTCCTTACTAGCTCTCACCCAAAATAAATGAAATAAGCGAAATCATTGCAAGCAATTTCTGAAAAAGAAACGGAGGTTGAGCTGAGAGGAGAACTACAGTCTTTAAACAGGCTGAGAGCAGGAAAAAAGACATGTTGTCAGGAAGGCCCAAATCGTGTTCAGGAAAGAGCAATCAAACAAGGAGCTGGTTGTGGTGGCACACGTCTGTAACACCAGCACTCGGGGAGGTAGAGGCAGGTGGGTCTCTGTGAGTTCGGGGCCAGCCTGGTCTACAAAGTGAGTAAGTCCAGAACAGCCAGCACAGAGAAACCCTATTTAAAAACAAAACAAAACCCACAAATAAATAAATAAGTAAATAAATACGTAAATAGCGAGCAAGGAGAGGGCTGAACGTGGTAGTGAACGCCTTTAATCCCAGCACTCGGGAGTTGGGTGCCTCTCTCTACCCATCCTCCTGACTTCCTCTTACTGCTGGTTGCTTGCTCTACCCCTTGACCTATCGTTGATTTTATTCAGTCCTGTTTACAATATTCAAGCAGAAAGCTCTCGGATTAAGGGTGTGTGCTAGGGCTGAGCCACACCACAACCAGAAACAGGTGTTTCCAGAAAACAACACAAGCTCGGGGTTCACAGTGTGATCAGACATCCTGCAACATTTCCCCCTTTTTGTCTAACTAAAAAGGAAAGATTTTTAACCCTAACACGGTCAAACTATTCATGATAATGAAGCTGTTTCTGCCAAGCTTTCCACACTGTCCAGCCTGGTTATGTCTTGGGGTTAAGTAATTTTGAGTTCAAAGTTCTGTGAAGTGTTGGTGTCAGTATCCTGTGAACTCAGCAATTTGAATGTCTTGAGCAGTGTGTAGTCCGAAGCTGATCTTTGGGTGCTGTTGGTCAGCTTGGTGGCCGTCCTGACTGGGGAGAACACAGCAGTCAACCGAAAGGTGTCCATGGTTTATGTAGAACCAGGCAGCGGAAGAGGCATGGAGCAGTGTTTCCCAGTGGTTAGCGTTACCACAATCCAGGTGGATTCATCATTGCAGGGCCCCGCCATCTTCCTAGAGTCCTCAAAGGTTCCTGTTAGGAATGGCAGAAAGCTTACGGCATTTTAAATGCCACATTCAGCATTTCTCTGAAAGGTTTGAGGCCTGCAGTCTATTAAGTACATCCAAGATACAGAAACTTTGTTCTTAGTTACTAGCTTCAGATTCAGACCTGAACACTCATTCAGGAAGGTAGGTGAACCTTATTTCTAGGATTAGTATTTTGGATGACTACTAGTAATGCAACAGAAAATTTATATCTACATAATAATCCTGTCATTTTGAGGTAATATTTATATGTTAAGAAAAGTTTTAAAGAGTCCAATGAAAACCACAAGATTATGAGATTAGCGCCAATAGAATAGTCCCTTATTTTTGTTTTTCTCTATCCCATACAAGGTGGTTTTTCTGACATGAGACAGAGATTTTGGGTTTTCCTTTAACAAGCATGCATGGGTTTAGAGAAGGAGAGAGCCACGCTCCAACCCCCAAACCAACTTTAATTTTTATTTGAACTGAGAGCACATAAAGATCATTTGCCATTATGTCTGTAGAGGGCAGCAGAGACAAGATGGAGGTGGGTGATACCACGAGGCCAATTTACTCTTTTTCTAGGGACATTGTCTCTTGATGATCTGTCCTTCTTCTTCTGATGGTTCATCTGTCCAGTGGTTTTCAGATGCCTTAGTTGGATGCTTTTCTTCTCCTGGAAACATAAAAACCAAAACCCTGCCCCAACCCTAACTCTTGGGGGAGTGGCTTGTTTCCTTTTTTTGGTAGGTTATATCTTTTCTGGTGCAAAACGTTCTTTTGACAACAGAAAAAGTTTTATCTTTCAATTGAAATTTTTAAAATTCTTTTGGTATCTTGAAACTAAATATACCTTAGCATGTGTGAATAAGTATGCCCGTACCCCCCTTTTTCTTTCTATATACATTCAAGATTTAAGTGTGTTTATTTTTAGATCACAAAGGATATTCACTTTTAATTTCAGCCTGCCTTTTGCAAGTGCCTTTTAAATTTAAATCACTGTAACTCTTGTGGACATGCCTCTGCCTCCCAAGTGCTAGGATTAAAGGTATGTACCACAACCTGACTATGAAATTAAAACAGTTATTCTCATAGGGTTGCCCTGGATTAATTTGGTTCTCCATTTCCTCTTATTTTTTAGTATTAGGGGTGAACTTTCAAGTTTTTTGAATGTGTAATCTATTATTCTTGCTGGTTTATTCTGAATTTGTTCCATGGAAATTTTAATATTCTTAATTACACATGATGCATATTTGTTCACTATTTCATTATTTTCAAATGTTTTGTCTGTCCTGCCTTCATGAGCTACATAAAGTCTGATGTCTCTGCTAAGTTTTGCTAGGTTTTGCCATTTCCATTCATGCCTTCCATGACCAGATGATTATCATTGCCATTTACCTGCAAATTGGTGGTTTTCCATTTTGATGACCATACAGCTATACTATTGTGCACACACCACGGAGAAGACAGACATTTTCCTTTAGCTGTCTTAGCTGTTTGTCTTTTGGCCAACAATGCTCTGCTAATTCTGTGGTTCCTTCCTCAACATTGGCCATGTCACCCCCCCCAGTCTACAGGCTTCCACTTTCCATTAGTTTTGGTTCCATCAGTGGTTGATGAAGCATCAGTAAACCATGCATCAGACAAATGTTGTGGCCATCCCACTGGTCCCCACAGTTCAATAGGTGCCGCTTTTGGGGGAAGGGTGAGCAGTTTAGGCATGGGGGTTACAGATAACTGAGCTACTTCCTCAGAGCAGGAGGGCACAGACTTCTTTACTACCACATTCTGATCGCGACGAAATTCAGATAGTTTCCAGTTGTACCGTAATACCCGTCCTTCCATGGCTAAGCCTGTGGAAGACTCTGCCTTCGAACGGGTCAAATCCATCATTGTAAAGGGGTGCCCGTGTGACCATAGAGTGGTTGACAATGACTAAGTATAAGGCTCCTCCCCTGCCTTGTAAAATGCCCAGATTTGTGTCTCAAGGAGAGAATATTTATTCTCCCTATACAGAAAGTGTTTGCAATAGAAGCCAACAAACGTTGGCGAGTTCCTTTTTGCTTTATGAAGAGTCCCCAGTTGCCAACTCACCAATAAATGCGCCATCCATAATTAGGGTCTCGTCCGGTTCAGAAGCGGTCAGGGCTGCATGCACAGACCTGAGTTTCCTAGCAGTCGCAGAAGCTGCTCTTTGTCCCTCTCTCCGGTGGAAGTTAGCTGCCTTTCTAGCACCCTTGTAGAGGGGTTTATAACAATCTGTAAGTTTCCACTCACATCCCCTATCCCCTGGAGGTCCACTCGATGTTCACTAGATTCCTTTCTACCTGAAAACTTTCTTGTAGGTATTCTTGTTCAATTTCTAATAATCAACGATCTCAGACAAGCCAGTTTAAAAGAGTCCAATCTTTATCTTGTTTTTTTTTCTTTCTTCATAATTTTACCACCTCCTAGAATTCTGCATTCATATCTTCATTCTGTCGTTCATCCTCTGCCCCATACAGTTGTATGATAAAACTCATGATTTCATAGAACTGGTCAAATTTCCGTCAACCTTTTCTCAACTGAGTGATAATGCTGAGTATATAGAAGCTGCTCAATAAATATTTTGTTGCCTAACATTTTTAAAAAGTCCATCAAGTGAGTAAACCATGGGAACCATAGGATTGTACCTTTTTATTTTTCATTTTTTTATTTTTTAGATGTCTATTTCACAGATTGACTATGTTTATGCTTACCGTACTTTGTTTAAATATAATGTTTTTTACTTTTGACTTCTAAATTTTTGAAGTGAAGTAATAACATTTTTATTCCACCAGATGGAAGTATGAAGCTGAAAAACTGATCATCATACTATGCATTTTGTTGTTGCTTTTTGTTTATGTCTAATATAATAAAGTTTCATATTTGGTAACAAAAAAAATAATCTGTAAATATGGTGTGTGATTGCTCTAGCGTGCAAACATACCAATCAGGAGCCACACCTGATTGGTGGGTGGTGGGATTAAAAGCATGTGCCACCATCACCACCTCCTTCACTCTAACTCTAGAATCTAGGAAACAACTTGTAGAGATCTGCCTGTCTCTGCTGAGATTAAAGGCGTGGGCTACCACGGCCCTGCTCAATATTTATCTCAGCTGCAAATCACTCCAGCTCTTAGAGATTTAGAAAACGGGTTTGAACTGCAGTAACCTTTTGAATTTACTTAGAACATTTAAATCTCTTAGCTGTATTATACCAAACAACAAAAACATCCTTTTTTATTTAAGGAAAAACCCAAAAGCTGATGTCCAAGACGGTGTGGGCCACGTAGCAATCTACAGTCTAGCACTGTTACATGGAATTAAGTCGTGGTTTAAGGAAACCCATTTTTTATTTCATGCCAGTAAGGCAAGTGTGCCTTTGCTAAGTTTTCATTCTACAATCTTATTATTTTTTATTTTTATTTTTTCATGCCTGATCAAGTGAAAGGCATAGTTGGTCTTTAGATGTTTGTTTGGACTGAATGACCGAGCTGTCTAATGAACTATCACTTCCCGTCATTCAGATCTCTCCTGTTCACACCTAATCTTATCAACCTTGATGTTAACCACAGCTTTTCTTCCCCTGCGGAAACAAAGACAAAACCTCTTCTCCAATGTAGCACCTATCCCAGTTTCCACTCTGAGGTCAACACATCTTCAAAATATACAGTCTGATGTAATACAGTAGCTTTTTTTCTAATATTCAATGTCTCTCCGCAGCTGTTGTGTCCTGCTTATGGACAACCTGGACAGTCTGTGACTGTTCTCAGTGATACCTTTTAATATTTTTCTCAGAGGCATTCTTTATTTTATGGTTTGTTTCTAAGATTGGAGGAATGTTAACCTGTGTTTTCCATTGTTGCAACAAATCACATCTCCATAAATTCATGGCAACATTAGTCACATATGTTTTTAATTTTTCTATTTGTTCTTCTGGCCTTATACACTTGACTCACCTTACACTTTATTTTACCTGAGATAAAGTTCCAATCCCTAGAAGCTGAATATTCACCCCCCACCCTACAATAGGCCAATCTGGATGTCAAGATTTTGGTGAAATTATTGTTACATCTGCTTCTGTGTCTACTAAATATTCAATTTCAATGTCATTTATTCATATTTTTAGCTGATCACTTATAGCAGTTTGCAAAATGCTTGTTATCCTTCTGTATTTTTTTTCTCCAAGACAGGGTCTCACTACATAGCTCTGGCTGTCCTAGAACTTACTCTGTAGACCAGGCTGGCCTCAAACTCAGAGATCTGCCTGCCTCTGCCTACTGAGTGCTGGGATTAAAGGTGTGGGCCACCACCACCTGGCAATGTTTTCTTTATTTTAATTATGACATAGTTTTTCTAAACTCTGTAATTACTATTTTCTGGGAATGTCACGGGATAATAAAGGGGTAATCATGCAATGTTTGTAATATCTGGGAGCGCTGGATGGCAGAGACTGAGGTTGATTGATCGCTTCTGTGCTTTTGGTATTCTGTGTCTGGGAAGAACAGAGAATGCTAATTTATCCTTAAGTGCTTCGGACAACATAGTTCTTAACATTGACCGTACGATTTCAGACTCCCACCCGAAAAGTAAAAATACTACAGTAAAAGGCATATTTACCAAGATGCAAATCTGGCTTCTGAAAAAAATCATTAAGGACATTCTGAATCTGCAGAGACAGGAAGGAGAAAGTATATTACTCCTCAATGACCACATATTAAGTTTTTCAGACTAAAAGCCAAAAATGGTCTTTCTAAGCACTGAGTGAGCCTATCCTGTTTAGGTTAGTATTTTACCTTCCCATGCATGTACTCATTGATTTCTGTTCTTTTCTGTGTGAGGACTGAGACACTGAGAATGATCCTGTTTTGTCTCCTCCTGGGGACATTTCTAGCAACCTCTGACAGCTGAGTGTGATATAAGGCACATTTGCAACTGTCTCGGCAATCCTCAGAATTACCTTTATTTCCTTGTGTGATTACTAAACACAAATTTTCAGAATTCTTTTTGGCTTCTTTAAAAGATAGATTTTCCTTTCTATAAAGAATTTTTAGATTCACACTAAACTGAACAGACTGCACAGAATACACGCACGCACACACGCACGCACGCACGCACGCACACAATCTCTCTGACTACCAATATTCTGTGCTGGAGCTGTAGACCCGTTACAAATTATGGGACGACAATGGCACCATTTCCTCTAAAGCCCAGTTTTTATGTAGGGTGACTTTTGGTGTTTTGTGTTCTGGGGTTTTTGACAAATGTATGATGGTGGGGTCTATCAATGTGGTACCATAAAGGGCTGTTTCACTATCTTTACTCGCTAGGAAACAGAGCCAGCTTTGATGCCCAACAACACATGAATGGATAAAGGAAGTGTGGAACGTATACATATGGAATTCTATTCAGCAGTACAAAATCATTAAATCACATTTGCAGGAAAATGGTCAGAGCTCAAGCTAGTTATGCCAAACAGAATAAGCCAGAGTTAAAAAAAAAAAAAAAAAAGACAAATATTGAGCGTTTTCTCTCACATGGGGAACCTTGATTTAAAGTGTATGTGTATAGGTCGGGAAGGTAGAGAGGGGACCAGGAGAGAAAAGGGAGAGGTCTAAAGGAAGGACAGAGAGCACAGAAGTATGTAATGGACACATGTGATTTGAAAGCAGAAAGGGAGACAATCTGAGAGGAAGAAGGGGACCAGCAAGAGAGAGACAGGGACTTGGGCTAGGACTGTGGGAAAGGATGATTTAAGAACAAAGCGTAATATATTACACACATTTTAGATAATGTGATATATCTTATATCATATTACATTACGTTTCTCTTATACATAATAGCATATTATATATATGAAAATGCCAAGAAACATTTTACTTAAATGCTAACTTAAAAATAAAAAATCCCGTGTTCCACCTACTTATTTTTCCTTCCCTAATGCCAACCACATCTTTTTACTGTTTCCGTAATTTTCCCTTTTCCAGAATGTCATGTAATTAGAATCACATAATTAGTATTCAGTCTTTTCTGTTTGGTTTCTCCAACTTTGTCACATGTTCTTAAGTTTCCTCTGTGTCTTTAATGGCGTGATATCTCCCTTCCTTTTAGCACCAGCATCCTATTGCATGACAGGGCGCCGATTGACTTATCTCCATTTAATTCAGGTTATCTAAGTCACTCTCCTGTGTGGACACCTATGAGTAAAGCTGCTGTGCACATTAACACACAGGACAGGGAACTAAGTGGTTTGGCTAAGTGTAGAAGATTGCTAGTTTTGAATTGTACGTTATAAAAGTATGTCTAGTTTGTGTGTTTAAAATGCACACAAAAATTACCAACTTAAATTTTTTTGTTTGTTTAGAAAGAGTTTCTCCCCCCATGTGTTTTGCCTGCATGTGTGTCTGCACCACACGTCTGTGGGGCCTCAGAGGCTAGAAGAGGGCATCAGATCCGCTGGAACTGGAGTGACGTACAGCTGCGAGGTACTGCGTGGGTGCACGGAATTGAACCAGGGTCTTCTGGAGGAGCAGCCCATGAGCGCTTTTTAAGTGCTGAGCTGTCTCTCCAGCCCCTGGAGATAGAGTTTTACAATGTAGCCCGCGCTGGTTTCAAATGGATAGCAGTCTTTCTGCCTTAGCCTCCCAGGTTCTGAGATGAGAGGCATGTGTCAATTTAGTAATTTTTAAAGAATATGTGTGAATATATACTACAAATTTAATGTTTTTCTTTTTACAAATTTAAAATTCTAACCCGATGACGACCAGTTCCTCTTCCTCTCATCTTTTCCCCTTGCAACTGCCATCTTGCTGGTTTCTCTGAATGTAACTGCTTGAGTTTGTTCTGTTTCCCAAGAAAGTCTTTCCAAGTGGCTGTGCTGTTTCACATTCCCACAAGCAGTGAGTGAATGTTCTTCCTGCTCTACATCCTTGCAGCACTGATTGTTAGTGTTCTGCGTTTTAACCATTATCATGGGTTGGTCATGGCATTTCATTTCTGTTTTAATTCACAGTCCCTAAGCCTGGTGAGATTGCTAAGTGAATAAAGACGTTTGCCACCAGGCCTGATGCCACGAGTTTGATCCCTAGGACCCAGATGATGGAAGAAAAGAACCGAATCCTGAAAATTGTTCTCTGAACTCACTGTAGTATGCCACGCCCCTACATCCCCATATAAAATGAATGAATGACAGTAATAAAAATTTTAATTAATTAAAAATTTAATTTTTTAATTGCATGAGGTGTCTCACAGGTTTATTTGCCATTTTCATAGTGTATCTTTGGTGATATATTTTGTTCATGTGTTTTGTTCAGTGTGTGTGCCCTGTGCGTGTTTCAGATAGGGTGTCACCACGTAGATTATGCTGGTCTTGAACTTGAAATTGTCCTCCTGCCTCAGCCTCCTGAATGCTGGTTTTGTGTGTTACCACGCCTGACTTTTGCCTATTTTTTTAAAAGGGCTATTTACTATTTTATTGTTGAATTTCAATTAATAATTATTTTTAATATTTTGGACAACAGTTTTTAATAAGTTTTGTGTTTTGTTAATTTTGCCTTCACAGCTATTCTTCCTTGGTCCGTTTAAAGTCAGTCACCTGGAATTGTATCTTATGATTAAATATTTTCAAAACTCTACATATGTAAGAAAAAATGCTTAATTCTTAGAGAGTGGCTGTGCTTTGTAGCTAAGAGATGTGGTCTCACAGATATCACAAAAAGACACACGCACACGAAATCTGTCTTTGTAATGATTATGTTGGAAACTATCTTGTCAGAATCAAGATATTAAAAATCTTACCAGATTTGTATTTTATTTTTTATATCCAAGAGAAAAATTGAAGAAATTAAGAAGCTCCCACAGAGTAGGAGGGCCAAGAGTTGACCTAGTTCAGGCATGATGAGGATTTCAAGGGAAGCCTCTGACGGTCCACTTACCGTGCTAGCACTTCCCTGTTACCGCTCCCCCGTCCACCCTCCCCGAGCGTCCCCTCTCTTACCACAGCTATAGGAATCATTCCTTTGGTGTTGAGAACCCATTCACTGAACTGCTCCTCCAGGGCCTGTTTTCTGACGGAGGCCACCTGGACCTTGACAGTGCTGATGTATTCTCTTTGTTCTCTCTTTTCTTTAACTTTCTCCTTCATCCTGGATACTCTGGAGTATGAGAACAGAGAATACATGTTAAGGGCCCTTGGTTTGCTTCGGATACTTCAATGGCAGAATCCAAAAGTTCAGAGCCTCATTTAAACGCCTTTTTTCCATCATCACTGACTGCATTCAGCATTCGTCTTAGGCTAATTTCTACCATTATTTAACTTTTTACAAATGCTGGCCTATTTTATCTAAGACGTATTGGTGGCACACACCTATAATCCCAGCACTTAGGGAGGCAGAGGTAGGTGGATCTCTGTGAGTTCAAGGCCAGCCTGGTCTATAAAGTGAGTCCAGGACAGCCAAAGCTATACAGAGAGACCCTGTCTTGAAAAGCAAAAAAAAAAAAAAAAAACTAAACAAAACAAAAAACACTAAACAAAACAAAAAGGAAGTATTGGTGGGAATGTTAACACACAGTTATGAAAAACTGTGGAGATTCTGAAAAACATAGAAAAATAGTTACCAAAAGATACAGAAATCTTACTTGTGACTATTTTTCCAAAAGACTTGAAGTCAGTTTGTTAGAAAGAAGTTTGCATTCACATATTAATTGTCACACGATTCACAGTAGCCAACTACAGAATCAGTTCTGAATGGATAAAGATCACGCGGCATATAAGCACCACAGATTATTATGTATCCTTAAAAAAAAAAAAAAAAAGCAGAAGGATGCTGTTTGTGAAACATAGACAGAGCTGGAGAATTAGGCCAAGTGAAATATACCAGGTATAGAAAGACAAATGCCGCTTGTTATTACTTATCTATAGGAAAAAAATCAATGGCAGATACAGAGGAGATAATGACAGAGAACAGAAGAATAAGGTTTTAAAGTAAGTATCTATTGCACAATAATATAGTTCATAATAGAATATTGCATATTTTAAAAATTGCTAAGAGTATAACTTTCAAATGTTCTTTCCATAAAAGCAACTATTTGAGGTGAAAAATAATGCTTGATTTAATTATACTACATATTTATACATCATAACATCACTGTATAAATATATACAAATATAATTAGTAATTTACAGGGTTTGTTTTGTTTCTTTTATAGGAAGGAGAAGAAGCTTTCCTACACACTCTGTAGAACCTACAGGTCATTAGCTTTATTCCTTCCCTGGAGAGAAACATGGATGATGCCCTTCTAAGAGGCCATTCTGATGCTCAGGACCAAACCTGAGAAATCTGCCTGGGAGTGTCTCTTCCTGGCCTGTTGCTGCTGTCTAGCCAGAGTCAAATGCTTGTGCAGCCCTGCTGATGTCCTGAGTACAAGAGTAACTATTGTCCTCAGCCAGAGATGCATCACCAGGCTGAGGATGGCAAAGAATGGAGGCTTCAGTTGTTCTTATGTTAATCATCCCTATTAGAACTTAAAAAACCAACCAGACAAACAACATCCAAACTGTTTTGATCGAAATCAAATCCCATAGCGCAGAATAAAAACAACAACAAACAGCTGTGTCAATGATTTTCTCTTTTAGGTCCAACAAGATTTACAATAGCTTTTCATACTTCAGAGAGGAAGACTGAGACAATGTGACAGATTTGAGAGGCAAACAAGTTTTCAGTGAGAATGTGGATGTTAGACACCTCTAATAGTCCAGAGAAAGGACTGAATTGAAGATGTACACTCTGCCCATGTCAGACCTTTGTAATTCTCTAGGAATACAAGCCTTCAAAAATAAACTTTTGGGTCAGAAGATGGAATCAGGCAAGCAGTTTAGGAGTCCAGAAGAGCCTTTTGTGAACTTCTGAAAGATGAGTTAGTATTGTAACGGGAGAGCTAAGTTCCCTTTACGTAGCACTGAGCAGCCAAACCTCCCTGGTCCCTCGGTGTTTCCTCACCCTCCTCTTCCCAAACTGCCTTTCTCTCTCTTCTCCCAATACAGCATGTCTGAAGTGCACATTCCAATATGGCCTTCTATTCCACACGTGGTCTTACATCTAGCATTCTCTCATTATGAGTCCTCTCGTTCCCTTAGTCGGCCACACTCATTACACAAACATTTATTGGGCATTTATTATGTATTCTGCCATTACAAAGCTTAGCATCTGATGGTGGAACAGACAAGTGATTGGGACAGTGTCAGAAGTACTGAGTGTCTCCAGGTTCTCATAAGACACAAAAATCGACTCACAAAGTTCTTTTCCTGTCACATTTTCATCTGCTCAAAACGCCTTTCCCCCCTCATTTTGCCTGACTAGATCTTCCACCTGCTTTGGGTCTCAGTTGAGACATCGTATCATGATGCCCAAATTTGGAGAGGAAATCTAGTTTCATGCTGTAGAGACACTGTGTATGAGCTTCTGAATGTAATCCAAATGGATTTTAAATTGATCACGTCACTCTTCCAGGGAAGGTCTAACATTCTGTTGCCTGTGCTCCTTTATAAGAATGCTTACACCAGCCAACAGGACCCCACACCATCCAACACTTGTAACTTCGGACAGTGTAGGGCAGGTGTGACCCACACGTGGGTGCCAAATATAGCTCCCAGGGTGGGAGGGCAGCTCGGCTGGCAAAGGGCTTGCCTTGAAAGCATGGTCATCCGAGTCAGCTCCTCAGAACCCGTATTAAATGGGGGAGAAGAAAGAAGTGGAGGAGGGGGAAGAGGAGCAGGCGGAAGGGAAGGAGGAAGAGGATGAAAAAAAAAGAAGGGTTAGGTAGGCAGTGTAGGTGTGTACTTGTCACCCTGGCACTGAGGATGTGGCAGAAACAGGCGGGTTCTTGGGGTTTGCTGGCCAGCCTTGCCTACTTGGTGAGTTTCTAGCCACTGGAGAGACTGTCTGAAAAAAAAAAACTGAGCAAGGCCTAAGGAATAACACCTGAGGTTGACCTCTGGAATTCACGCACATACAACACATGCGCTGGCACACATAAAAGCTAACTAATAAAGCCAAGTATGGTAGTACACACTTTGTACCCACAACTTGGGAGGCTGAGGCAGGAGGGATTGCTGTGAGTTTGCAGCCGGCTTGGGCTTCACAGCAAGACCCTGTCTCAAACAAACAAAACAACTAAATAAGCAAACATTTCCTCCATATGAACACGTGTTATGAAATCTTTTTCTGAAAAACAAAAACAAAAAAAGCCAACAGTATACATCTCATGACAGAGTGGAAACAAGTTGGTAGAAGGCTGGCCCAGCACGTGCAGGGCCCTGAGTGTGCTCCTTACCCAGCATGAGCATCGCCCAACTCCCCTCCCACCCCGTCAATCTTAAGTAAGATGATGCCCTTCAACTGGATCTAACGGAGGCTTCGGTCCTTTCACATGACTCTAGTGTGTGTCAAGATGGCGTAACAGCAGCCAGGGCAGCCTGGGTGGAGACTCTCTTTGACCATGGCGACAACAGCTGTGTGTGCATGGCACAGAACTGTGAACTCTGTGTGTCCCCACCCGGTGTGACAGTTTTCCCTCTCATCAGTACAGGGTGAGGCTCCGCCTCCCTCCCAACCTCCCCACAATAAGCCGTCTCCACGGTGTGTGATATCTTGCTTATAAGTAATAGTTTAGGGTTTGTCAGCTCTCAGGCTCTGGGATCACATTTTCTGAAAGATAAGCCAGACTTTTCGCCACTTTTGAGGCATGTCCCACTGTCCCTGGAATGGGTACCTTACAAAATGCAGGTGACATGTGCCTAAATTATTATAATTACTGAATTCATAGTTCCTCCTGTTTTATTCAACAGATATCTAACTACAAAAATTAAGCTCCTGACATAACATATAATGACTGAAACCCTTAAGTAGCTGGCTAATCAGTGATAGTTTTAAAACATTCTGTGTATTTTATAGTAGTTTTGCTTGTATGTAGGGCTGTGCCTGCAGAGGGCACCAGATCCACTGGAATTGGAATTATAGACAGTTGTGAACCACCGGTTAGGTGCTGGGAACTGAGCTTCGGACCTCTGTAAGAGCAACAAATAATGTTAACTGCTGAGCCATTTCTCCAGCCCATCAGTGGTGTTTGGATAGATTGATAATCGGGCCTATTTGGAATTTTTATGACCTAATAAAACATCATCATAACATACTCATTAAATATTGATAATAAATTCTAGAGATTTCAAAACTAAATACTCAGTCACTCCAGATTAAGGGTAAGTATGAAAATACAATGACCCTCTTACAGTTATCAACCGAGAATAACCCTAATAATCTTATGCACCTAAAAAAAAATCATGAGCCCAAACTCATGGTGACTCCCCTGCCTGAATCTCCGCAGTTGCTGGGACTGTAATCGTGACCCTCTGTGCCTAGGTTAAAAAATAATTTTTAGAAAGAAAGGGGACATGGTAAAAGCTGGACTCACCTAGTTAGCATATTTTACGGAGCATCACTTACAGGATGCAGTGTTGGTGCTAGGGTGTTGGGGAAAGATCTGTTAAAGCTGTGGACGGTGTGATGCAGATTGTAAGCACGTGAACAATTCCGGCGGCTTCGGGTGCTTGGCCAGCCTCCCAGGGCCTCCAAAATGTGTAGAAGCACCTGATCCAGACCAGGTGTGGCAGAAGGCATCCGGAGGAGGAAGGGACACTCAAGGTAATTTCTGAAGGACAAGGAGAAACTAACCAGCTAGAGGAATGAGAAGGAAGAGGTGTTTAGTCAAAGAAAGCTGGCACCCCAGGTTCCAGAAGTGGCTAGTGAGTTGATAAGTGTGAAATAGTAAAAGTGGCCAAGGGCTGTGTGGTCTAATTTACTGTCACTGCATGCTGGGTTCCTCCCACAGGGTATGGCTAAGTTTTGACGCTGGCATTGGTGGCCAGGGTTTCCTATTTCTACATGAGGTGGCTGAGCCACTTCACTGAAGAAGTAAGAGCAAGGCAGAGGACACCAAAGTAAGGATATTCTGCACACTACTGGAGTGAGATAAGAATGTATCTGGCTTGATGGTATGGGACCAAGCTAAGAGAAAATATTTAAAAATCAAGGCAATTGGACGTATGGCCTTCAACCTCTAGAGGCCAGAGCCTCTGGTGTAAGTAAGCAAAGCTCAC